ATTCTGGGAGTTGAAGTCCACCCATCTTAAAGTTGCTGAGGTTGAGGAATTCTGGTGTAGAGCAGATGGAAGTGGGAAAGTGGTAAAGCCACTCTTAGGTCATCAACCCCTCTGTCTCCAAGGTTCAGACATGCATGTTATTGTCGATGCCACCATCAGCAGGTAAAGGAAAGGCATAAGTCAAGGTTTACAGAGATACTTTAAAAAAAAAAAAAGGGTTCAGAACTCTAAGAATGGCAAAAGTCCTACAAGAAGAGTCTGAAGTTCTGGTTTGGCACGTTTGCTACAGAGCGTGGACTGAACACAAGGGGGAGAGAAGGTGAGGAAGAGCATGGCTGGCTGAGTGAACTGCAAACAGTAGTAGTTCATGCTGCCAGTTTGTCCTGCTTGCCAGCCGCAATGATCTCTGCTTTTCGGTGCGCAAAAAAGACCGGTTAAAAAAGCATCTATGCGTATGCTCCCAGCTGTTCTTCCTTGGCACGGTATGAGAGGTGAGAATTGTGATTTTGCACTCTCTTGACCATCTCAACCTTTTTTTACTCTACCTGGGAGAGCAAGCTGCTTAGAACCACAAGCAAAGTGACCTGCAGGCCATCCCCGTTGAGCCACCACAATTGGGACCAGCAGGTCGGTCATTAAACGAAGCAGTCACTAAGTGAAACTGCGACGCTACTTACGATCTGACTTCAGCTTTCCTTGGCTTTACAGACCTGCGAAGGTCGTAAATGCGAGGATTGGTCGTAAAGTTACCTTTTCATCACGGCGTAACTTGAATGGTCGCTAAGTGAGACAGTCACTAAATGAGGACTACCTGTATAACCCTGAGTCAAGCAAACAAGCCAACAACATTTAACAAAAAAAATGCTCTGGGCTTTTTACTCTTGGTGCATTTTGCTCGATCTCATGTTATTCCTGATTGCTGAGTTGCTCTTTCCAGGATATGAGTTGGGCCTAGAACATCTACTCAGGTTTACCTAAAAGGAAGATGATGCCCCTCTCCAAACCCTGGTTGATGAAAGGGGGGGGGGGGGGGACCCAATCCACATCCATACCATCTATGCAAGTTCTCAAGCTCAGCTCAGCACCTGGACTAAGAACCTATTGGGTCTACTCCTTCAACGCTTGGTGTGGACACAGTGTCTTATCCTTCACAAGCACATGCCTGGTGTCCAATGGCTTGGACTGTCTTTTCAAGAAGCTAATGCTTCATCTTGAATTATCTTGGGCCTTGCTCTTCCCCACTGCACTAGGATCACACCCCAGGCTTTGTTCTTAGCTTACATTCCTGGCTTATTGGGGGAATACTGCAAAGAATTCTTCCAAGTTTTTATTGGCTTGCTATTTTATTTCCTCCAACCTGGGATACAAGAGCTGAGGGCAATGAAGACTTTTTTTGTTCCTTGTGGACCAAAGCCGGGAAAAATGCAGAGATCCCCACAGAAATCAGGAACTTATCTCAAATGCTCCCTACCAAAGGAGCCCAACATCGCTGGATTTTTCTGCCATGCAAAGAGAACACAAAATAAACGTTTTGGACCTCACCATGCAACCTTTTACTACAGAATCAACAAAGTATACATTTAAAAGGTTAAAAACTTTTATCTCGTCCTTCTGCCTGACAAAACGCCTTTAAGATAGCTTGCAACCGAATAAAAGAAACAATTAAGACACGCTAAAGGCAAGATTAAAAACAAAATTAAAGTGGCTATCAATATTTACAGTCCTTCCCCTTATTTTTAGGTTCAGAACTTCACATTGATATCTGCTATTAACGGCTGGAACGCTGGCCTGGCATGCAGGAATTCCGAACTGCAAACTCTCTCCTGTCACAAGGGGTTGAACTGGTTGTGCAAAGTCAGTATTTGTGTTTCAAAACAACTCTGGAGAAGTGTTGTGAGGACAACCATGAAGGAACCCAACAAGCAGATCTCCAATGAAAGGTTAAAACATTTGAAAGGTTAAAAACTGTTATCTCGTCCTTCTGCCTGACAAAACGCCTTTAAGATAGCTTGCAACAGAATAAAACACGTCAGACACGCTAAAGGCAAGATTAAAAACAGAATTAAAGTGGCTATCAATATTTACAATCCTTCACCTTTTTTTTTAGGTTCAGAGCGTCACACTGATATTTGGGGCAGCTACCCTTTATAAATAATGTCTGAGTAATTTTTTGCCAAGCAAAGATTCAAAGTTCATGTTAGCTAGAATTCCCAAACAAATCTTGAGGTCGTAAAAGGCCACACAACAGGATCCTAATAGACATTTCCAAGAAAATCACTTTCCCTCTCTCCATTAAAAACCAGAGATAAAAAGCAACACGCAACACACATACACACAGACCACGCTGCCAACTGCTCCAGTGCGACGACATTCCAATATCAACTGCATTTTTCAAGAGCTGCAAAGCCAAACAGGATTCGTTCTTGTTCGTCATTTCTCTTCCCGTTCGGCTTTCTGAAAGATTAAAAGGGGGGGGGGAGGGAACACACCCAAAAATGAGTTTTGCAGGATAAAGGGAACAGCTAAGCAATGACAGATTTCTCTCTGCTGCCAAAAACAACATCTAATGAAAGGATAAGTGAGCACCATTAATATAATGCGAAACCTGTAATCGCTAAATATGTCTGAACTAGCCAAGAGCCATTTTGATGCATGGATGTGCCACAAGCAAAAGGCAAATTTTTGTTACCCAGACTGGCCGTGATCCCAAACGAAGCTGCTTCCGATATCAAAATCTGTGCTTGGTGGTTTTAATTGCTTTCGATATAATTGCTCCTAATACATGGGCACAGAGACTTATGCGCATGACAAACCATCTCATAAGTGAGAGGGGCAAAAGGTTCATCGTTCTTCTCCTTTCTGGCAAATTTAAATTGCCTTTTCATTTTGCCTTGCTAAGGGTCGAACTACACATTACACTCCTCACGCGTGAAAACTGGCTGTTTCAATTCCGCAGGCTAGCTGCTGGGCGAAAGCTCTGAGCTGCCTTGACAGCCTGCTCCAGATATCTCCAGCTGGCTGCCAAGCGGCCAGCTTAAGCAAACTTCCCTCTCCTCTCCTCTCCTCTCCTCTCCTCTCCTCTCCTCTCCTCTCCTCTCCTCGAGCAGATAATACTAACACAAGAGTCTGCCACCCAGCAGGGCCCGTGTTTTGCCATTTCAAATCAAATCAAATCACAGCTCACCTAGGGTGCTACTCTGAGGTCCACCGAGTCATAGGCCGATGTTCTCATCAGCTGAAGAGGGCTCGTAAATAAATCTCGGAGTTCTTCATAGTTTGGTTTTTCTTCATATTCCAAAGCCATTACTTGTTGCAGGTATTTCTTTATGGATTCTTTAAAAAAGAATCAATCAATCCATTAATCAATCAATCAATCAAACAAACAGATCTCTATGGATGACAGTGAAAAGAGCTAGTCCCTACTTCAGTATTTCTGATGCCCCACCTATGGCCTAGATCAGTGTTTTTCAAACTTGGCAACTTTAAGATGAGTGGACTTCAACTCCCAGAAGTCCCCAGCCAGCACTGGCCTAGATAAAAACTTGATTTTTCTGACCCAGCTTGGCAATGTTCTAGTTAGATTTCCTGAAGACCAAGCAGCAGACATCCTGAGCTTGTAAGAAAGCCCCAGGACTAATCTCACAACATTTTAAACCAGCCTTTCTACATAGCGTTCACTCAGAGAACTTGCAAAGCACAGCAATAAAAAAACAACAACATTATAGTATAATTATTCTGCTTGTTTGATTAATATTCTGTATTTCCTCCAGGAGTTTGAAGAAGTTTACAAGAAGGCCTTGCTTGATTTTATCCCAACGACAATCCTGTGCAGGAGGCTGGGCTGAGAGACTGGCTCATTCACCCAGTGAGTTTCTCTGGCTGACAGATGTCTTGAACCCAGGTCTGCCCAGATTCACATAAATTGAAAGAAAAAAAAAATCCAAAGCCAATTCATTTATGCTTCTGAGGGGGGTACGCACGAAACGTTTAGAAAAACACAGATGACAAGAGAGCATTAGGAGGAGAAAGGAGACAAACTTGGAAATATCACACTGAATATTTATATAACGTTCAGACCCGACCATTCTAGACAATGGGAAAGGAGAACAATTTATCAGGATGTCTCCCAGATATGTAAATACACAAAAAAGCAAATCTATACTCCCCAGACAGTACAGCACAAGGACACAGCTTATTTGCTGTTACAGCCAGAATGCTGGCCTGAGATGCAAGAATTCCTAACTGCAGAGTCTACAGCAGTGTTCCTCAACCTTGGCAACTTTAAGAGGTGTGGACTTCAACTCCCAGAATTCCCCATGGCTGGCTGGGGAATTCTAGGAGTTGAA